CTTTCAAATGTAAAATATGCTCTACATTCAAACTCGAACGAAGATGGGCAGCATGATAGGGGCCGTATACAGGGATAGAAACCGGCTTCGCTTGGAAAGCCTCGGATGCAAAAAGTGATCTCAAAGTGGAAGGAGGCCCACTTATCGCAATACTTTTTGAGGTTGTTGCACTAATATATACTTGATTTACTATGGGTGTTTCCTTTGAAAAGTCAGTAAAATCGGCAAAATGAGCAAATTACAACGCACATTTTCTTTGTGAAAGTCGGTGAGTATCGAGTTCACCTCGCTCTCTTGGACAGCGGGAACGACGTAAGTCCAGCTTTCTGGCAACTCTAATCGACTATCGAGTCTGTCGGCGAGGGCTGCGACGTATGCACCCGTTCGAAATGCCATCAACATCACTTGAATAGCGATGGGTATCAGTTGAGAGATCGATGGGGAAGAAGCAATTGCAGCGGCAGCAAAAAGTCCGGTGCACAAGCCAACAAGGCAGGTTTCACTAGGACTAGTCGAATCTCCATGTTCTTTCTCGTGGCGACTGGTTAGATACATTAGTGACAGAACTGGCTCTATATAGGGTCTATACTAACTCAATGTATTGCGACAACTGAGCAATGCACAAAAGGGCACTGTCTATAGCAGGACTTTTGATAGTACCTGCGTGATATAACTTATTTAGTTCGAGTATCGTGGAGAAATCTGGTATCCCATTTCGCTGGAGGCTTGGTAATCTATCGATTTCTTCCCTAAGGGCAGAGCCAGCCTGCTCGAGGAAAGATCTCGAAAGCACACTCGGTCTCCCATGTTGACAAAAGTCGGTCAAGAAAGTATGCGTGTCCAATGACTGGTCGCCAAAGACCAGGAAAGACATTTTGTCCCCCATATTCAGTATGATACAAGAAACTAAGTTGGTGGAAAATCCTGAGGGAAACCTGCTGGTATTTCATCAACTCTATATGCACAACTTGCAGTGGCCTGTATTATTGAATCTCCAAGAAAGCTCAGCTCATCTCATCTGATTTGAAATCAATTTACGGAGTAACCTCTACCCTCAACCATGTCATGATGGCAAAACACTGTGGATCATTATCAGCTCATTGACTTCTGATGTCTTTGTCCGGTCATCAATCTCAAAATAATATGACAAACAAGGGTCGAAAAGCTTGTTTTGAATGATGGAGTGTGCGGGCCGACTAAGAAACGTAGACTTTTTTGGAGATCTAGCACTGACAAGTCCATATCTTACAAGACTCTCTTTTTGGTATCAACGTCTATTACGGGATGGATAGTTTTAACGCCTATACGGATACGAAATGAGACGGTTTGTCCTATTCTGCCGCACTAATTGTGATTAGCTGTCCTGAAGAAATCGGACTGGTTCGAAAGCACCTCATTCGCCCGAGATTAGGTACCCAAAATACAAGGGTAATTGGCATTGGAGCCAGGTGGTACCTCGCATAAGCAACGTCCGTACTGACAGTACATAACACTACAGAATTGATTGTAACAAGTTCCGGTGCGACACTGTCCGGCGGACATCCCCACGCGGTCATAACTCTAACCTGGACTTTGAGCGGCTCAGCCTACTAGCCGAGCGCATCCCAATGTTGGAACAAGTTGCTTGAGAGTCAAATGTCTTAGAATCAACCAGCTAGACCACCGTGAGATAGACACATTCATCGGGGGAGCTATCCAAACGTGGGCGATATGCCTCCATGATCACGGTTGTGCTGTTGCGGTTGCAGTTGCAAAATACGAGTTGGTGTTGTGGGTGAGATTGTCCGACCGGAAGATAAACACGCTAGCGAAACGCGTTCTACTGTATGTTTGTGGCACGTGACCTCATCGAGCCACTTCAATCCTTCCAGCCAAACATACCCAATTGCACTTCGTTCCTACAATCTCTTCTCCTTCTTCTCCGCTTCTCTCCATTCACCTCTTCGATCTAAGAAGAATCCGAAATTGAATCATTCCAAAAACGCGATGATTAAGCTGTGGACAGCGAGATTTTCGTGACGACATTGACTGACTGATTGCATGCCCTAGCTCAATTATTCCGACTGGTGGGCTTACACATGAATGACTTCTCTGTTCTTAATATGTTATCCATGTTATTCCATGTGAAGAATTTGTGTCTTCTATTCTAGGCTGCATGCATATCCGAGCTGGAAGCTTGCATAATATTGACCTCAGCCGTACTACAGGTAGTTGTCAGACAATATCTTGTGCTATTTTCGCGCCGTGGTGTTATTTCGAAGACTACTCTCCAGTAATGCACTCTGTTCTTGTTCCTATAACTTATAGCTTAACTTACATGCGATCCTTTTATGGAGTATGAATATCTTTCCTGTGTCTATCTGCAATATCTCGAAGCAAAACTCATTTCAACTGATGATGTTACAAGTCAAATCATCATTTTGACCTCGACAGACTTCGGGGCTCTTACAAATGAAGGGCCTGAATTTCGTATTTAATTTCCGGCATTCAAAATTCAAACCTATTTCTAGATCTGATACAGACGTACGCTTGCCTGTTTCAGAGCAAGTATCTTTCATGTCCCTCGCAAACGGGGCTCGATGAAGGAAGTGTTACGAGTGCAATAGTTCTTGACAACATACCGTGCCGAACGTTATCGCGATTGATGCAGGCGTAGTGCATACTATCTCTACTGTGTTTTACAAGATTCAAAGAATCTGCTTCCTTGTACTCCACTCCGGGTACGGCAGTACCTTTCCCGAGAATCATCATCTTTTGTCACTTTTGGATATTGAGAAATAGTAGTAGTTAATTTATCACGCTACAGAAATATTTCCAACGGCCCCAAGAGTTTGAAGTTTAGTGAGTGCTAAACCTTGGAATGAAAGACCAGCGCGAAGATTACGGAATGGATAATTGAGACCGTTGACCTTGATCTTGTCATTACTATTGTGAAAGGCAAACGAAAGCAATCTGAAATGAGTTACTCGAAAGTCTTGAGATTGCCATTCAATTTGGGACACATAAAAATTGAAGAATGGATCGATGACCCAATGATTTGTTTCTGTGTTCCACAAACATCCGGTTGTGGCACTTTGTAGAAGATTAAACAACTAAACGTTTATTTTCGAAAGAGGAAATGGGGAGATGTTGAGCGCATACATTCGGAAATCTGCAATTTGAATCAGAATCTCTATCCTGAAAAGAAAAATATTAAATTGGTGACTCAATAGCGTATATGAACAATAATCACTATTTGGTTAGAAGTCAGACCATTAGACTTCTATGTTATCGTCAAATCTTGGCATAATGCTGCAAAGCGTAAGCTAGGAATTCTCCACGGCCGCTTTCATTATATTTGAACAACTTCAATTCAAATGTTTATGCCGATGATAATATTTACAACTAGGTTGCTTTGGATGTGCAATCTAAGCTGTAGTACTATACGAGCTATAACACTACATGAGGCCGTGCTACTTACACACGATGATCACCTTACTTCATCAAAAGAACTTTGCCACAAGCTGCTAGATGGCTTAGATGAAAGAGAAATACCACGGGCATGTTCTTGAAAACATTTTCGCCAAACAATACAAGAGAAGAGCAACCTGCTCCGACCAGCATTATTAAATGAGTCGCTGCAAAAATCAAAATTGATTTTCTATATTGCCCAAGATATCTAATCTGTCCCAGTTGGTTCTCATTACAATGGCCACACATCATCTAATCCATCTCTGGATGCATATAATCAACCTTGGCACCTCCAAACAATTCATCTCTTCCCTCAGCGCTATCGTAGCAACATTCGAGCCCCCTGCTGCAAGTTTGGCAACGGAAAATTGGGGTTCGATGCAATACAAGCATCTAACTCGCTCTTGATCCAACATTCATTGTCTTGAGCCAATTCCATGCTTTCAAACATGTTCAGAACATTCGAATATCCCGATTGGGGCTGCGGTGATTTGCGACCTTGCACATGAGAGGTCAACCTCCTGTTGTCACTGTGGTTTAGCTTGCTGATATACATATGCGAATCGTCTTCGGAAGTACAGGTATCACGGGCTATAAGTGTACGGCAGAACAGGACCTTATCATAGCAGGCTTGGAGGATCTCCGGGGAAATAGGGTTTTGTTGTTTTTCTCTATCTACTTCATAAAATTAGATACATGTAGGTGCATCGCATAGTCATCATAGCTTTAGCTATAGATAGACTGAATCGATTATGAATTTACTACTCCTATACCTATGATGCACATGCTGTCCCTGCCATTTACTTAACAATTTGCTTTATGGAATCACAATCAGAAGAAAAAAATCATTGGCGAGACCATGATTTATGAATCGCAGCAAGCGAATTTTTATGTAACATTATATTTGTAGGAGTTGTGCAACTTCGTTCCAGGTAGCGAAGAGTTCCAGGAGTGTATCTTATTTTAAAATCACAGGATAAAATTAATTGAATTGAATGTAGTCAATTTCATCAAGTAGTTGCCTGAGAAGCAATAATCATCCGCATTATTCTGCGTTCAGTCGCACTAACTCAACATGATTGTTTCCAGAAGATCATTCGATAGTAGTCTTGATAGCAATTACTCACTTTAAATCCCAGTCTCTATGTCATGTGTTGCAAGGACTGGAAAAGAGCACGGCACTCCTGCTATCATTGAAGTTCCTTTGAATTTCGATATTCCGGGTTCTATCGGAGTTTGCTGGAAAAATCTAAAGTAACGAGAAAGCCAGTAGTGTTGCTGGATAGGTTTCACCCTTGAAATGGCAGTAACGTTGCATCTCTTTGAAAATGAATTCTGTCGTGTATATCTAAGACTATATAGTACAAACACAAGAAGAATTGTTTTGAATGTTGGGGCTTTGCATCGGTCACACAATGGTTGCCATCGGTAATCCTCTATGTCAAGAACAAAGCAGATTCATCATTGTATGTATAGTACCGAAATATATACAGAAGTGTTTTGCAAATGTATGTGCCATCGCAATTCATTCCAATTCAAATCTGGCTTGCTCAGAGAGGGCCGTTGGGATGGATTAAAACTTTAGTATATCCATCCTCCCTTCTATCAAATTTGGTATAAGCGTTTGGTGCCTCATCGATACCAATCTCATGCGAAACAACGAATGAAGGTTTTGCGACGCCTGAGATAATCATATCTCGCAGACAACGATTGTAGGCTTTGACATTGCATTGTCCAGTGCCAATGGAAAGACCCTAAAATGTCAGTAACACTCATCTGTGTTGGTACTTGTAGTAGTACTATCACCAAACTCACCTTCTCGAATAACTTCCCAAAACTTATCAATAACATTCCTTGGCCAGCATTGCTATCTGGAGCACCAGGGTCGCTTGGGACATATAATCCAGGAACACCAATACCACCGGTTGGTCTCGTCACTTTGATGCAATTTTCCAAAACAATACTTGGTACTTCTTTCTTGCCATCCTGTGCAGAAGCCTGGTACCCGACAGCGTCCACGCTCCTATCAACCATCTGGCCATTCTGTTTTATGATTTCCTCGACGGCGTCACATTTGGTGAAATCCACAGCGACACAACCGATTTTCTCCGCAGCTTGTAGACGTTCTTTCACGCTATCAACGACAAACACTTTGCTTGCTCCTCTGAGCTTTGCACTATACGCAGCCATCAATCCAACAGGTCCGGCTCCGAAAACGGCGATTGATTCTCCTGGTTGGAAGCCAGAAAGTACAACACCGTGCCACCCCGTTGGGAATATGTCGGCAAGAAGGATAAAATCCGCTTCATGATCTTTTCCAGCAGGAAGAGGAAGGCAGTTGAATTCGGCATATGGTACACGGATATATTGTGCTTGACCTCCTTGGTAAGGTCCCATTGCAACATATCCATACGCCCCGCCTGCGAATCCGCTTGATGAAATTAACGAAGTGTAAACAGGAAGCTCAAGCTTAGATGAGACCTACGGATTCACACCTGTACAAAAAGCCGTTTTGCCCTCTTCACAATTCCTACATCTGCCATCTGCCACATTGAACGGCATCACCACACGATCCCCTTTCTTAATATGCTGAACACCAGAGCCGGTCTCGATCACTATGCCCATATTCTCATGTCCAAAACATAACCCACCTTCTGCAGCCGTTCTTCCCTGATACATGTGCAAATCACTTCCGCAGATTGCGGCTGTCGTCACCTTCACCAGTGCATCATCCGAATGTTCGATCATTGGCAGTGGGCGTTCTTCAACAGTTACTTTGAAGGGTTCTGCACAACATAAATGTCAATCATTCGGTCTTTATAAGAGTACTTGGAACAGATTTAATGATCATACCTTAGTATATAACCGCTTTCATTGTTTGCGTTTGAGACATCTTGAAGGCTACTTCTATGCAAAACCTACTTCTTTGAGGTGAAATGTTGACTTCTACCTAGAATTACCTAGTATATATATCATGCAAGTATGATGGCATCGTCTTCCCCGCGTTCTAACTATCCCCTAGACCGCTAACTCAGGACTCCTTTGTGGTTTGTATGCTAAGCAAAAACATTAATATTTTTGAAAATAATATTAATAATAAAAAAATCAACAAATACGTTGCATATAACAATTCCATTAATATAATTTCAATTAATGTAGAAATTGATTTTATTGATACAGGGATATTACATCCAGATATATTTTCTATTTCGAAAATAGAAACTTGTTTCAAATCTATGGAATATATCGATTTCAATCGAAAAGTTTTTTTACCAGTCAATGTTCAAGCTGATTAGTTGTTCATTTTATTTTTTCTTTACTTTCCCATTAAAATAATGAAATTGATTATAAAATAAACGAATTCATATGTGCGAGTACCGAAAAACAAAAAACTGTCGAATTTGCAGACATATTCATGGTATCCCATTATAATAAATAAAATTTATTTGTATATAGGTATATGCATATATATATCGATTTATATCAAATTTAAATTTGAAATTTATTAGGAGTATAAAAAAAACAAAGATAAAAATCATTTTACACGTTTTATGTCAAGAAATAGGTTTGTAAAGATTTATATAAGGTATTGTGTATTACCCTTTGGAATAAGTAATGTTTATGAAAGAGTAAAAGTTTATTATTCAATTTGGATTTTATATGCTAATATACTTCTTTATAGGTAAATCTATTATCAGATTATATTCAACAAATCAATCTCTCAATATAAAAACCTCAAAATCGAATTTCAATTGATGAATGTATAATGTGGTACAGTGGCCAATTAAGCTTTATTACCATTATTAAAAATAAATCTATTTCTATGGGATTAAAGATATGGGTAGTGGTAAATTGAGGGTTTTTTATGGTATATAATTGGTATAAAATTGGTATTAAAAATAATTTTATGGGTGTAGTGATATCTTTTCTTTTAAGATTAATGAAAGGGGAAAAATTTATAAATAAAATGCAAGTAATAATTCTATGTTTAGTGTAAAGGTTATTTAAAGCTTTATATTATATTTATCTTGATAATTTTTTTATTTTTTGTAATTTTTTGGAATATATGTGTTATGTAGGGTATGCTGTTATAGGGATATACCAACCGAATTCTGGTATTTATAAAGATCTTGTTATTAAAAAGAAACAAGATGTTAAAGAGGATAAGATATTCTGGGGAATAATCTTTTCTATTCTATCCTTTTCAAATAATGTATGTTTTATAACATGGAAAAACAATACACTAGTTTTAATACAATTTATAGTATATAATGGGAATACTTTTGTTAATAAAATACAAAAATGATTGAAATTGATTTATTTGAAAACTAAAATAGTTAGAGCAGTGTTTGGAGATGATGCACGGAAAGAATTATTTATTTCAACTCTCTTTAATGATTATAATTTTTATATAAATGATATTGATATAAAAAATTAACTATATACATCCATGTCAGGAAATCAATGATAACGATGTGGAGGCTATTAAGCTTTAGAATAATGACTTTTAATCATTGTTTTAATCAATTGCCATTTGATTTAAAAAAAAATTACATCAAAAAACGAAAAAATGAAATCTTTTTGGTATAATGTTTTTCGAAAATCTATTACCGATGAATTAATTATCGAATTTGGATCTAAATGTTATTTTAGGATTCTAAAACGGATTTGGGAGGTTCTAATTGAGGATTCTAATTTTTTTTTAAATTATTATTTTATAAAGTTAGAAAATAAAAAAAATTGTTGTATATATAAAAATTAATTTTTTAATATTAAAAGAATAATATTAAAGAAACAATCTAATAATAATAAATTAAAAGGAATGAGGTATCAAAATATTTGAAAATATAAAAAATATAATATTTATTTATATAATAATAATAAATATTTTGATAATTATTATAGAATATAACTCAAATATTATGAGCAAACTGGAAATCCTGATAATTTGATTAGTTAGTATAATCCCTGTATAAGCGAGGAGTCCTGAGTTGGCGGTCTAGGGGATAGTATGGATGTTTCCAGGCTCGGACGTTCATTCATTCATGAACCATCAAAGCAACCTACCAACCCCGCACCCGGCCATTAATTGCTGTTACATGGCGTATTTCTAGAAGACTTTGTGAATACTCATTCGCATATCTCCTGCGCGTTGGCAGTTGATCTCGAAGAGTCTTTGAGGCTAAAACAACATCTCTACGACGTAATGATAGAAAGCGAATTGAGATATGGACAATAAGATTTGTGATTGTGGGATGTGAGCTAGTGTTAACATCGCTAAGCCTCAGATATAGTAATTGGCCAGATCCACACAAAAGTAAACTTTAGATTCATTGTGCGGAACTGAATTTCAATGCTTAAATCTATGAGAACGCGATGCCCTTGGGAATAGTGCGAGTAGACGTTCTGATTGAATTAGAATGAATGTGGTGTTCCAATTGCCGCGTCTCACCGCTTTGGTGAGTATGTAGCTCCTTTTTGAGCGACAAAGTCCACTGCCTCGACTCAATGCATTGTCGTTGCGGGAGTGGCCGGTGAATGCATTCGATATGAAGTCATGTTGGCATCATCTACGAATCTTGAAATCTTTGTCAAGACTGAATTTGAGCCACCGATTCTGGGGCTCCACCGACGCTCATTACCAATCGTTGCGGAGCAAAGTATAGAATGGATTTGTAGGTGCAAACCCTCTCCATAAGGATACCGGTTTTGGTGAGTTAATTTGGATCGGTTCACAGTTCTAAGATTTTTTCTACTTTAATACAGATACACATAATCCTCGGGCCTCGAAATATAAGGATATCCTTATTAAAGAGGATGTAAATCAAGTCTAAACCTAAAATCGTTGGGAGCCAGAAATAGAAATATATCCTCATCAAGAGATAAGGTTATCTTTATACAGCTGGAGGACCCTTAATACTATTAATAGCTTTATGTACGGACAACATTGGGCGCCATTTGCCCGCGAGCCTGCACTCGAGGGATAGTGAGGGTTTACTGTTTCACAATTGAGTTTATTGTCAAATTATCAATCAATCAAGCTCATTAATTATTAGTAAGTCAGATAAGTTACCAAAGAATGACCTCGGTCTCCGAGCCGTTAAATGGAGAGTTTTGGACTTCAACTATTTCTTCAACGTTTCCTTTATTTACCTTCTTCAAATCTTCAAGAGCCTCATATTTGAATAAATCTTGACATATACATAATGGCACCAATTCACTTCTTAGTAACTCTTACTCCCGCACCGGGAAAGGAGGCTCGTGTATGTGCCTCAATATTCTCCTTCCACTAATACCAACCCGAGCTAACATACCTTTTCCAGCTCCGAGAAACCCTCACCGACCTCGTAAACAAAGTTGAGAAGAATGAGCAGGCAACTCATAAGTACCAAGCATTCGAACAATACGATGGTGAAAAAGGAAATGTCTTCGTTCTCCAAGAAATCTGTATGTTCCTCTCGCTCCACTATCTTCCGCTTGCTCATTTTCAGCCACGAATGTATGAATGGCTCGTATAGAATTACACATGCTAACAACAACTAGTTGAAGACGAAGCCGCAGTAGCTGCTCATATGGGTGCATCCTACGCCAGTGAATTTGGAAAGCTTTTGTCTGAGGAGGGACTCGTGGGTGCACCAATCGACATCAAAAAGATTCAGCCATTTGTTGGATTTGCTAGTCGCTAGATGTGGGATCTCGAATTATTATACAAAATCCCGCAATTCAGAACATATTGTACCACATCATACTCATACCATACGTCTGAATCTATGTCTAAACATGCATCTATCTTAATTTGTTCATCTATCTAACTCTTCAATCCCGTTCCATTTCTGATCAAACAAAAGCAGTTTTAGGAGCAAATCTGCCCCCAATCACAGGAGAATTCTCAGTCAACACATCCCAATCATGAGCATCCAGTGCAGCTTGTCTACTCTTCAAGACTGCCTCATGGGTTCTTGGTCTCATCTCCGCTTCGTATGCATCAATTGCTTCTTTTTGTGTAATTTCACCAGCTTTGACCTTTTTCAATTGATCGACTAAGAGAGCTGCATCCAAAATCCCGTGGTTGGCCCCTTCGCCTCGATACCTATTTATCATGTCAATTCCTACCAATTTCCGTGCATCAATTGCCACCCGAATTTCGAAATCATATGATGGCAAGAGCAAGATCAAGAGATCAAGAAATCTAACGCAACTTACATCGTCATAGCATGCGCCGCATCGCCCACCAATGTCACCTTTCCACCCCAATTATCCCATTCCTTCGTCGGAAAGTCACTCAATCTCAACGGAGTCGTCGTAATATCCTCCGGAATACCCGTGACAATACTCCTCAATGGTTCTGCAAACCCTTCCGTTCTCTTCTTCATATACGCCACTCTCTCAGCATCAGTCTTCGGCATCGCATCCGCAACCTCATCTTTGATTAACCAAGAAAAAACTATCAGCCCTTTGTAGCTCTTACTTCCATCGTCCTTGGGAACTATCTCTTGCAAACTAAACCACATATAACTTCCAGTTTCCGGGTCTAGCCCTTGGAACAACAATGGATCGATAGCTCTTACAGATGAAATTTGTTCTTCCGTAAATGGCCTCACGACTCCAATACAATAAACAGGCAATTTCGTCAAGTTGGCTGCATCTGATCCATTGAACAAGCATTTTCGCGTCACACTATTATTCCCATCAGCACCTACAATTAAGGTGGCATTACTTGTTGTCCCGTCTGAAAATTGTGCAGTCACGAGATCAGAATCTGAGGCTGGGGCAATTGATGTAAGACCTTTCCCTTCATGGATATCGAGATCGGTGGCGAGTACATTGCGGATTTTTTGTCGATCCAAACGTCGACGGAGCTTGCTTGGTGGGATTTTGTAGCGGGGTGAGGCTGTACGGGCGTTGAGGAATAGAAAATTCCCATCGTCGTCGTTGAGGGTTGGATCAACGGCTGCCTGTTGTGTTTAGACAAATTAGTCGTCGGATCATTTTATGTTGGCAATGTGTTAACACGTGGCTTTCTTGAGATAATTGCATCTCGCGACTTCCGACTCATCACGAAAGCTCTCACAATCTCCAAACTTCGTGTCAGGAATCTCTTACCGTAGGTATCAACTCAGATACTTTCTCCCCAATCGTTCTTTCCAAGCTTCTCAAGCACCACTATATTATTGTCTGGTTAGCAAGTCGCCCCTTCACACCCTTCCCACCGCCTTGCCTGCTCCCCACCCGTGATTTGAAGCACCACTCAACAATCAGTCATCTCATGAATGATCCCATCAAAATTACCACTATCACTACCTCATTTACTGCCAATCCCTTCTTGTTCCCCTTTCTCCTCAAACTCACATGCAAAGTAATCGCCCACCCTTGAGCTCTCTTCCCATGCTCGTCCTTCTCCACAATCTCAAAGTCAATCCCATTCTCCCTACACCCTTGAGCAAGTGTCAATCCCACAATTCCTCCTCCTACTATCAGGACTTTCAAATTCGATTTCGCTATTTCGCTACATTTTATTAGTACCGCCTATTCAGACCCTAGGAGAGGTACACACGAAGGCATATTTGACTCCAGTTCTTGATCCCTATGCTTGAAGTTCTGAAATCAAGGTAGAATGAAATCTTAGAAAACACAAAAGATAACACTACTGAAGTGGGAAAACCATCAGGGAAAACTCAAATATAGGATTTCCAGGTAGGCTGCCCCTCAATAACGGATATCCGGCCCAAAAAGGCGTTATACGCGCTGGCGCATCAGCACCAATGAGAGGTGCAGATGAGACAAGGGAGGCTCTGAGGTGCATATTACCCTGTCGTTTGAACATGGTGTGTAAATGGTATAGATGGCAATGCACATGGCAATTTTCCCCACACCGTTTGAAAATAACAATTCGCTAAGACAAATGGGGGAGGTGAGTATGGTGAGTATCCTATTGCGCATAGTGAATATAATGAACGGCGTGATGTGCATCAGGGAGAGTATACATGATATTATCCTAAATTACAACTATACAATCACACTTATTACTCTACACTCCAATATCATCGTGTTGATTTGCCTAATTTCTTCAATTCTTCCATTGCGCTTTTGCTTCTCGATTTCGAACCAATAGAGCTCAGAAAATCCCGTACCCACCTCCATCCACCTATTCCTACCCGATTCAAATATCCCTTACAGAATTCAAACAGCACTCCGAGGTTCCTCAAGATTCATATCGATTGTTAAAATCTTGAAGATCTGATTGAACAAATGGCTATCTGTCACCATAAAAGACTAATCTTTGACTTCGATTGCAACGAATGTAGTGGCAGATGTAGTTAATCGAACCTAATTGCATACCATGGCATACCACGCAAGGAAAACCAGTCCATACTTTCCAAACGCCCTCAGCAACAAAAGGCAGGAACGAAGCATCTGGAAGAAACAAGAACATGAATTTTCGAAACATCTTTGACCCAAGCCAAAGCATTCCATACAACAAGAACATCAATAAACCCCACTAAATCATCAAATACCCCTCATCTTACCTTACCATATAAATTACTACCAACGAACATCCGATAACAAACAAACATCCAGCATGCCTCCTCTTCCTCCTCCGAAAAAATTTCCCTTCCCGCTATTTTCAAACGAGATGTCCTACCACGAAAACCCATTCTTCGAAGCGACTCTCCACGAAACACACCCCTATGTCCCCTATACTCCTGCTCGGCCACAGAAACAATATTTAGCGATTCCTGCTGTTCCATCTGGTGCACCAATGCAACCTATCGGTCCACATCTATCAGGGCCTCCTTCACTCCTGATTCTTTTTGTATGTGTTTTGGTTGCTGGATATGCGTATCGGATGTTTTCGCGCAGTTCTTGTGGTTGTGGGGCGCATAAGACGAGATATAGTACCGGGAAGGCGACTACATGTGGGAAAGGCCATTGAGGTGCCAATTTGGGTTCAATGAGGGAGGCTGTGATGATGAGTGTACTAATTCCTTGCTTGGACGAGAAGAATTTCGTTGTGGTTACGAAATTCTTTACTGGATGGGAAATAAGGAAGCTGTTGGGGAGCCGGACTTGGATTTTGAGATGGAGCATCATAGAGGAGTTTCAGCGCCGGGCATAACGCAAATGTTTTGGGCTTGTTCATATTTTGGAAAAAGGACATCATAGAAGTTTGTCAGCGAAAATATGTTTGCGACTACGCAACGCAGCGACAATGTGGATAGAGAGGACTATTATTATAGATTTTGATTGCATTTTATCGTGGACTTGAGCTTTGCAACTTATGAGAGATAGTAATAATTGCTATGCTCCAGCTTCCTTTTCCTGGCCGATGGCCAGTCCCATGCCACAAAGCTTTCCGTGAGAAATATTGCTCTCAAACACGGTTCTCGCAGAAGGCGCACACAAGACGTACGTGAAAGAATAAATATCATGTGGCAATGCTCCTCCTACCTTGGAAAGAAAAAAGAAAGACCCGATCTAGACTTACTGTAATTCCTGGTCATAACTTACACTCTGCCCTTGCAATGCCTGCCGCAAACAAGACCTACCTCTTTTCCCTTCTTCGGTCCATCGAACCATCTTTCTCCATTCCAGATCAAGACTGTAGTCCGAGTTTTCCCCATATTCCTTCTCCGACCCGAAACCCGATATACAAAGAACAATATCCCCACGCCGCAGATCATTATCGTATCACAACATCCCAAGTCGCACATCGCACATGGCACCATATGCAACGTCCGTCCGACATCCCCAAACTACTCACCGAACAATTTTCCACCGCATTATGCACTCTTACTAACCCCAATCTCCCATGCAAACCTCCGCATATATCGAATGCAATGTAATATGATTGTACAGGTAACAGGCGGCAGAACCAATTCGATGGGCATTGCATGTTGAACTATCGATGAACGTTCCATTTTCAATGCGAAATTTGCATCGTATTCCCGTATGAACAAGAGATCTCGTACTGGTGCTGCAGTGACCGAAGGATAGAGCATGTTCGTATCCGTATAAGTGAATAGCGAATATCTCATTGTCGTCGGAGGAGATGCTAGAATTGGTGACCTAGTCGTGCTATACAATTGTGGCTTCTCGTAATAATAAGTTTACCGTTCTATACACAGCTCGAATATTCAATCAATTGCTGCGTTCCGCGGTGTGTATAAACCACATGTGTCACATTCAAAGTCGTGTCGCTCTTTCCCATTTTTACGGTAATCGGACATCCAAGTGTGTCTAGCTGATATCACACAAAGAACGGAGTCGAGTTCATGTCCGTTAGTCGCACACAACTCTTCCAAATGTCGTTCTTTGCTTATGTGTGTTGAAAATATGTATGTGTAGAACAGCGTCCGGTCGCTATAACCCCTGAGATGATAACAAGAGGGGGGCGTCGTATGTTATGCATGCAAATGGTAGAACGATTGTTTACTCGTACACGCTGGTGGTCGATTTCTACATTCTTGTTTGGCGTATACCGTCATCGTGAAAGCGGAGAAAGGAAGTGAAGGCAGTCATACATATTATGTAGTCGCATCGAATCTAAGAGAGTTTAATCTGAGGTTAACAGGCCCAAATAGCAAGCGAGTAGTGGGTGTATTCCGTGGGGTGGTACTTGGCATAGGTAGCTTTATCATGCTTGGATGTATACTGTAAAGATGTTGAGAGCAACCAGGGACTCCGAAGCACTCTCGCAGGTACTTGCCACTCGTGGCAAGAGCTCAAAGGTAGAATTTTTGAAAATGTAAGAGTTGTTCTCCGCCGCGTCGCGAGAGTGTTGGTGTTCATCTTATTCGGAAACCTCCGCACAGGCTAATCACGCCTATAGCTACAGGGCCTCGGGCCTCACGACTCTTTTACCGAATCCCATCAATACCAGGAAATAGAGCTTCGACGATCACTGCTCTCTTTGTTGATTGTGCAGCTGTTCAGAGAAACTATGAAATGCATTACCAAGCAGAATGCCATTTTCAGAAATGCAATGAAACTTTTGATGTAAATAAGTAACTTGGAAGGTTTATCAATTCTAACTTTGTAGTTTGATAGGAGCTACTCTAGCCTAGCTAGATGGTTGCCCCCCACCGTGAGCAGGTCACACCTCTGTAATTGAATCAGGAAGGCACTTGTCAAGCAATTCAATTTAGAGACATGCAACAAGACTCGAAGACTGAAATTGATTGGCTATGTATCACGTGAATTGTAAGTCAATAAGATGTCATACTACTCATGACCAAGACATCTTGACTTTGACAAGACTAAACTCAATCAAGACCTCATGAAAGCTTCATCGTTCAGCAAAAACTCTATTTTCTCGAATGTTTAAGAATTAACATATTGCAATTCACAAGAGTGATGCACAACAAATGAGTCTAGAACGTAGCGGCAACTCTGCTGTCTGTCTAACCCTGGAACATTCACAGTTCGAAACTCAACTCATCATTTCAAGTCTAGAGAGAGAGAGAGAGAGAACTTTCCATCAAGTGGTCAAGTTAAGACATCCAAGAAAACCTTGAATTGTAAAAGTATTGAAAGCCTAGGTATTGGAAGTAAAGTTTGAATGTAGTGCGGATGACTTTTATGGCTTATTGAAGCGACGACCTTGGCTAGCGAAGTGGTCATTCCCCTTCAATAAACTTTTCAACCTTCCCTATCTCGAGCCTATCCGCACGTCTCAAGAAGGGAAGTTTCTGCGATGCCAGTCAATCAGATGGTGATCGAATTAATGAGCTTAGAAAGTCGCCGGCTTAGATCGTCAGAACGGACTCCAGCGGGTCGGTATCTTCATGTCCAAACCAAAGCGAGGCAGGTAACCTTGCTAGGCAAGGTTGCCTCATAATTTCTATACAATGGAATATAATTTTCGTTTTCAATTTCTTTATTTTTCAGATATGCAACAAAACTTTTGATGAGACATAATTGGCTGACTTGAATCAGCTAACAGAATGGTGAATGAGAGATAATAGGTGTATTTCAAGGCATGGAAGTGACTCCTTTACATTCAAGTCTCAATTCCATACAAGAATGTAGTCGAGGGCTTCTGCTATCTCAAGTGAGGAGGTGAATCACTTTTCACATTGCTTGAGTTGAGATCTGAAGTAGAGTGGAAGAGTATATAAGGCCTTTTATTTTTTGTAATTTTCGAGAGAACCATCACTATGCCTACCTACCTAGGTACACATAGATAGCTCGCAGCTGGCATTTACTTGAGTCATTATTATAGAAGACCATCATGCAATTTCATTGCACCGGAAAACAACATCATATCTAATCTTGACCTTTTCCCGAACAACCTATGCTGATTTAGCCCATCCTCTAATTCTCAAAATCTTTGTCTCATTTCTATTTTGATTCACGCCTCCATCTCTATGATTACCCCCAAGTCAACATGTCGCAGCATTTCAAGCGTGCGACAACTATACAGATTAGCACATCATATTTCACCTCTCCAGTCTGATGAAGATCAACCAAGTTAGAGTAAGGAATTCATATTTTCTACCTAATCATCTAAATTATCTCCATAATATTAAAGTTTCATCTCATCTTCCGAAGTCATTCCCATTCATCATAACGCCCCCATCAATACAATTCTCATAACAATCATTTCAAAAACAAAGCTGCTTCGTAACTGTTGTCAGAAAAGCTCCAGATACAATGCCCACGACCGTCAAATCATTAGAGGAATTCCAGAAGGAGGAATTCAAATACCTCCTTCTACCTCCATCCGATCTCGGTCCTGACCATCACATCTGCGCCTCCTAACAAAAGAAATCAACAATCCTCTCCTTGAAAGTCATATGCTCCTCTGCCTCCCAATCAATGACCCCCTCATCCTCAAGTCCCAGACAACCGGTATCCAAATCCGCCTCCAAACTTCCCACGATTCTAGTCTTACAGATAATCTTGTGCCCGAAATAAGCAATCGTGAATAATATCAAACTGATATACGCCACAAAGAACTCTCTGACCTGGAATCCAGGAATAAAAGCTGTGAATCCTTGGGTAAAAATAATCAACACCGTAAATACTAAACCATACCACGCAAACCACGGTTGCCACATCGACTTATAAGGTAAACGATCGCGACTGATACCCCGGACTGCAAGTGCCTTCATAAAAGCAATATGACATCCGCAAATGCAAGCCCAACTAATGAATCCAGCGACGGCAGAGATATTTTGGATCCAAACAAATGCGTCACTGCCTCCAGAACTCTCATTCAGGAAAGCCAGAAGACCAAAAATAGAGGTAAATGCGACGGCATAATAGGGAACTCCACCTCTAGTTGTCTTCAAGAAACATTTAGGCGCGCAATTCCCTTCTGCGAGACCAACCAAGATACGAGAACCAGAATAGACGTTGGAATTCGCGGCGCTGAGAACGACGAAGAGGAGCACGGCATTGATGAGCCCGGGAAGTGTCTTGACACCAGCTAGTTTGGCGGCAATAACGAAAGGACTAGCGGATGCATCTGAGCTCCCGGATAATAAATCTGGGTTATCGTATGGAATCAAGAGACCGATAAAGAAAATTGTTCCGACGAAGAAAAAGAGAATTCGGAAAAATGTCTTGCGAATAGCGGCCGGGACGTTCTTTCTGGGGTTCTCGGTTTCTCCAGCTGCGATTCCGACGAGTTCGGTTCCTTGGTAAGAAAATCCGGCTTGGATAAGTACAGCCCAAAATCCGACGAATTTGGAAACGGGGTTCTCGGGATTGATGAGGTAGGGCGCGAATGCACCTGGATTGCCCCAGGTGTGGAATCCGAGATAGCCTTGTTGACCTGCTCCGGCATCGATACAGATTCCAAAAATGAGGAAACCGAGCACGGTGATGACCTTGATGAGTGAAAACCAAAATTCGATTTCGCCGAAAAAGCTGACAGGGAGAAAATTGACGCCAGAGATGACAACGAAGAAGACAGAGATAAAGATGCCGACGTTGAGTTGGGGCGCCCAGTATTGGATAATGAGACCTGTGGCTGTGAGTTCAAGAGCGTAAGTGGTTGCCCAAGAGAACCAATAAATCCATCCCATGGCAAATCCAAGCGAAGGATCGATGAATCGTGCTGCGTAGAGAGTGAATGCTCCGGGAATGGGAATGAAGGTTGCCATTTCTCCCAAGGACATCATGACGCTGTATATGAGGGTACCGACAAACGCATATGCGATGAGAGCACCTGCTGGACCGGATTCAGCAATGGCGGATCCGGATCCGATGAAGAGACCTGTGCCGATTGTTCCACCTAGTATACATTATTAGTATCTTCATTCTGTTCCAATACCCTTCATCAACCATCTTGTGATGAGTGAAGATGAAAAGATGTGATAGTCCATAGAGGTAACGAACCAATAGCGATCATCTGTAAATGTCTACTCTTTAGCTTCCTCTGCAACTCCGGCCCACTGCCCACCTGGATAGCCTTCTCTGGATCCTGCGACGAATGACCCGAAGCCGAATCTTTTTTGTCATCTCCTGCGGCCTTATTTGTGGCCTGAATCGAGTCCATCTCCATATGTGGAGCCATGTTGACAGAAAATGCGCGTGCGCAACTTTTTCGAGGTTTCCAAACGTAATATCTTCTTCCAAATTCCAAGCTGCGTTGTCCTTCTCTCACCGAGATACC